AAAAAAAAAAAAAAAAAACTTATTAATTAAGTTATAAAATACCAGTAGCAGCATGGAATTATAGCACCACCTTGTGGTTAAATGCCAATATTTTACCTTTTAGAAAAACAAGAGATTTCCCTTCAAATAATAATTTTTCCCTTTTGAAAAATTCAATTTTAAAAGGAAACAGTTTTGAAGTTTTCTTATGGAAGTTAGAAGAAAAGTTGTCTCTTCTTTTATTTTTTCTTTATACAGTATAGATATATACACAATGAAATGACTTAAAACATTTCTAGTGTGTAGACAGTGGGCAAAAGATAAGTATATATTGAAAATATAAAATATTTCATATATATTATCAAGTGGAAATTTGGAATCCAAATTTTCTTAAACTTCTCTCTAATAACTTTTGTCTAACAACTATCTAACGGACTAATGAACTCATAACACATCATACATTTACACTTACAAAGAGTCTCTATCTTGACAACATGATTTTTGGAAAAATAAAGCAAATTTGACTTTATTGAAGTTATTGAAGCAATCAACAAATTGTTATTTTTAAAAGTTTTCTCTTTTAGGCAGTTTGGTTTGCAGTCTTAAACTAACCACTGTTGATTAACTTTAGAAGGTGAAGCAGGGGAGTTCTGAAGAGATTATCTGGAGCTACATAATTAACGCTAAGTTAAATTAAATGTTCACTTTCATTCTTTTCATTCTCACATAAGCTGGTTGAAAAACATCATACTACTGACAAAGGTGTCAGTAGCTTGTGCTGCCCTTTCTGTACTATGCTCTGAATAGGTCTAGGTAGAGATAATATGGAAATACTATAAAGAATACATAAGGTAAAATACCAGTCAGAAAGGGTTCAAAAGAAGTTAACATCAACTATGTGAAGATTCTAGGTAAAGCTAAGAACTATTGAGTTGGAAAAAAATAGTGTCATGTTTGTTTGTTTTCCTCTATTTTTTTACATAATGTTGTAATATATTCTTTTAAAAATAAAACTTGAAAACGTTGGAACTTTGTTTCATGCCATTCATTACTCATAGCTTTATATAATTGATACACATTTGGGGAAGCATAAATTTTTTTTTAAAAAAAGCCTCGTCAATTTTATAAACTACAGCGCTTTTTGAACCCAAATAACCTTGTCACTTTGATTTTTACTTTTTAACAATTCCCCAGGTTTGTCTCCTTTCTTTGAAACTGAAGGACATAAAAAAGGTGAAGTAGAGGTAATGTAAAACAGTCAACTACAAAATTAAAGCTTTAATTGTGTCGGGCAGGTTTCTTATACTACTCAGAGAAGAAACCTGGAAAATCAGTACAGCACTGATAGCAGTAGCACATTCGGAACATGCATACTTACTTTTGAAGAGGAAATTTTTTAAAATTCATATTAGTTTTATCATGATTTATGTTTATTTATAATATTTGTGGGAATTAGGACTATATAAGAATATATGGTTTGGTTTTTGTTTTTTATTCCTCAGCAAAGTCCACTAAATTACTAGTAAAAGTTGGATTTGATTTTGCTTTTTAATTGTTTGTGTAAAATATTAATCTCAACATTTTAAAATTAAAAACAGAGTACTTAATAAGCATCTCAAATGCATAAATTATTTTAATTTTACATTAGGGAGATGGGTAGTAAGAAGAAAAGTAGAGAATCACAGGAAAGTTGAACAGTTGGGGAATCAGAGTGATGAGAAGGCTGAATATTTTAGAATAGTTCCTAATTTGTTTCAGTCCTTTGGTTCACTTAAATCGTTATGTACTTGGAGTGCAAATCCTTTGTTTCAGTCCTTTGGTTCACCTAAGTTGTTATGTACTTGGAGTGCAAATCATCTTATTAAATCATGAGATGTAGCTCTTCAATTCGTTTGTTGTTGAAACCCTAAGAGGCACTTGTGACAATGCAACAGAATTTTGTATGTGTTTCTTATGTCTCTTGACCGTCCCTGTAGATGGACTTTTGCATTTTTCCAGTAATGTTTGCCCCAGGTAGATCGCCTTTCTGGGTCCTCCAACAACAGTATTTCTATTTTTGTTACCTTGTCTCTGAAACTTCTGAGGTTTTCTAATACTATGTATATTAGGATATTTATGAAAAAAGGCTTTAAAGTAAACTTTGGAATAGTTATTTGTAATTACAGTGATAAAACTGTCAATCTGAATTAAAGATTGATCATTTTTAGACCCATGACTGGCTCACTTTTTTCTATTTTTCCCATTCCCCACTTTGATGAGGAAGCATTACCTTCTGTAAGTCCTCATGAAGTGGAGGATGTTTTGTTTGCGTGCCCTTTGCTATTGTATGGGAGGCAAAACTTTACCATCTTAAGGTCTCTGACTAGGCCCGATAATTAAATTGATGTAAGGTAAATTAGCAGGAGAAAAGCAAATGGATTTTCCAATGTACGTGGGTGCTCCATAGGAAAATGAAGACCCAAAGAAGTTGCAAAACCTAAATGCTTATACAGTGGGTTGAATGGAGAGTAGCAATTGTGGAAAAGTAACTGTATGAAAAGACTAAAGGAAGGTAAGAGTTATTTTAACAAAGACCATTTGTACGGATTTTTCTCCACTTTAATTCATCTCTGGTAATAAGAGTGTTTCTTCTTTCCTTGTACAGGGAGGGCATCTTTCACAGGTAAGTTTTCTCTGCTTGGTGATAAGAATGTTTCTTTTTTCCTGGTGCAGGAGGGCAGTGTCTTTTTTTGCATCTGCTGGTTTTCAAGTTCCTTTAGCTCAAAATAATCTTATGCCAAAGTGGCATATTTTATGGTGGCATATTCTGCCACACTTCACCATCAAAAACAGTGTATAGAATCTCCCTCAAAGATTACCACTGCTACTGCTGCTGCTGCTGCTACTGCTACTGCTACTAATAATCCATCCCCTGCCTAAGCCCTATCATTTATACTGTACTATTCTTTATCTTTTATATTATTTCATACATTTATCTCCTTTCTCATGGCCACTGTATTCAAGGTTTCTCATTCTTTACTTGCACTATTCACTGATCTTGCCTCTCTCAATGTATCCATGCCACTACCAAAGTGTGTGTGTGTATATATTTGAAATTGATTATGCCATGTTGCTGCTAAAAATGTATCTTTGTGTTTCTTTTATTCCTAATGTGTAGAGCCCAGCTTCTTATGCTGGACAGCAAAGATCTTCTTTTTTTGAAGTCTTTCTTTCCAGTGTCATCTTCTATAACTCTATAGAGAACCTAAATACACAGAACTCTTAAAATCTGCTTTCAGACACTCTTTCTTCTGTCTAGAATGACTTTTCCTTTCAACTGGCAAGTTTCTGCTTATCCTCAAAGACCCAGTACCTTTCTTGGAAAAGCTTTTCTCAACTGTAGAGTCCAAATTATCCACTTCTGTCTCTTTGCTGCTTTAGTGCCCTTTTCATACATTTGATTTTTGTACCCACTTTATTTATATGACTTTAATTCTCATTGGTCTTCCAGCTTTCAGTATTTTTTCTAATGTTCATTTCTTCTAGTGCCTATCATTTATTCATTACAGACTAAATGGTACTAATAATTATTTGTTGACTAAATGAATATCAAATACATTATAATTAGTGTTCCAGATAAGCAAGGTTTTATCAAGCTAGGGCCTGGTCAATCATATTGTATTTTTTCTATGGAAGAAATGTATTGACAGAAGAAAAATATAATCATGAATTCTAGCAAAGAGTTGACCAAAGATGACTAGCTCATTGATAGGTTAATGAATACATTTAGAATGAAAGTTGATTAAAGTGCCTACTAATGCCAGTCATTGTGCCCGGCACTGGATATATGCAGAGAGAAAGATAGAAATGGTTCCTGTTCTTACCGAGCTAATAGCTAAGTAGCAAAGACAATTAAATAAGCAATAGCAATGTGTAGTACTGTGATAAGAGAAGAATAAGGCATTCCAATGAGGCATCAGATAGAAGGAAATAATGGGATTTGGAATCAGGTATCAAACTGATAGCATGGAAGGAAGTGATATTTATCTTAATTCCTAAAGGGTGAATAGAGTACAGCCAGGGCAGATGGTTTGAGCAAAAGGACTAGCGTAAACAAAGACTTAAAAGGAAGAGCATTTGAATTTGAAAGAGATTCACTAGGACTAGCATACTAAGTGTGCAGTGTGTGTGTGTGTGTGTGTGTGTGTGTGTGTGTGTGTCTAGAGGTCAGTTGACACAGGCCTAAGGGACAGCTTGTATCTTATTTACTGTAACATTTAAACAGCAGAATATGATAACCAGATTTGAGTGTTTGAAGGATTTAATTTCCTGCTTTAATATGGAGAATGGGTAAGGGGGTAAAACTAGAGGCAGAGAAACCAGTGGGAGGCTATTACAGCAATTGAAGAAACATATAGTAAGGGTGACTTGAATTATGATGACAGTGGAGATGGAGGGAAATAATGGGGTTTGGAGCAAATGTAATATAAGGACTGTCTTCAATTTAGTATTTGCATTAGGAGATAGAAAGATACTACACTAGTGTTTAATCTGATATCTTGCCTAATTGGTCCTCTTCTGGAATCTTGTTAGAAATGCAAAATCTCAAGCCGTGCTCTTGACCTACTACATCAGATGGTGCATTACACAAAGAACCCAAAGAAATTTGTAGTTACCTTAAGTTCAAGAAACATTAGTTTACATTAACATACTTCCTGTTTTATTATCATAACTAACATTTGAATCTAAGCCTTCAAATTCAGATTTTCCTGAATTGCTTTCATCTAAGCATATACAGCTTTACATAATTCATATTCAGCATCTTGGACTCCTTAGCACCTTTGGTTAGAGTTTTAGGGTTTTGAGTGCATTTAGTTAAATAATTTTTTTTCCCGCAGTCAAATGATACACAATTATGATTTAAAACATTCTTTCTTCAAAATTGGGTTTAAGCTTTGTACAAATAACTTTTTTGGTCCTCATCAATAGTGATTCTTTACTAAGCACGCACAATTCCCACCAGTATTCTCCATCTTTGAAATACCTGTGTTTATGCTGAGAAATTTTCTAGTTTTTTTCTTTAAATTATGTTGCCCAAAGTACAACAGGTAGTCTTCTGCCTACATATTTACTTTTCTGTATTATGTCACAGGGTGAGTTTTCTGAAGATATGGAAAGCAATTATGAGGGATCCGTATTTCACATTTAATTTAAAATTCAGTGATCTTACCAACTTTCTAAAAACCATTTGTCAAGTACAACCCCATTTGAGTACTATTAAAATGAAAGAGTAAAAAATGCATCTTAAGTTTAAGAAAATACAATATTTAGAAAGCAGATTCCATAGATGAATTAGGTGCAAAGAGAGCGAGAGGAGAGGAAAACAGAAACTACTAAGAGTTCATAAGCTTTACCCGATCAGTGTGTGTCTTCCTTCAGATTTGCCATCTTCTGTTTTAGTAAGCTCTTGATTTATTGGGTGAGAATCTGACTAGTGTTTTTAAATTCTGATCATTGTTTGCCTTTTGATATTCAAACTAGGAGATTTAAAACAACACTGCAGCTGAGAACTTTTAAATGAACATAAATAACAAACATCAAAATGTTTAAAATTTATTTTTTCACATTGCCATGAGAAAGCAGAAAAATGTTTAAAATTTAAAAGCATTTCAATATTCCAATTATCCTCTCACTTTTGCACCTTTTAAAAAAATAATCACTGTTCTCTGCCACCTTCAATTTTTATATATTGTTCTTTTTCACTTTCTGAATGTGCTGGACTTTCCATGACTTTACAAATGCTGTTCCATCACCTAAAATGTTCACTATTCTCAACTTTTCATTTCCTGTCCTCTGGCTGATGATAGGAACCACATAAGCTGATGGAATTCTACTCATCCTAGGGGTTTCAGATTAAACATAATTCCCTCCAAATAATGTTGCCTAGGTCCCTAGAATAGGTTAGATTCCCTGTTTATGCTATTAAAAGCATCCTGTAATTTTTATTTTATTTCAGCTTGTACATTATTAAACCTACTGTTTGCAATTGTTGCTAAGGTTGTTCTCCCTGCTAAACTATGAGTGTTACATGAAAAGAGATTCTGAATTTTGTTTACTAATATATCCTCCATGCTTAGCACAATGCTTGGTACATAGGACATTCTCATTTTTTTTTTGTGGCTTGACAAACACTTAACACATCCTCCCATCCCCCATATTACAATAGAATTCAAATTTTGTAGGCAGCCATTACTGATTTCTAAATTCAATATCTCAAATTAGTTCTATTTTAATCTAAAGTCACCTATTTATCATTACACTACATTTCTGTATTTGGTAATATATTTAAATGTAGAATATACTATGTAGCATTAATGCCCAAGTTGGTAACTTTTAAAATAGTTTCTCTGTACTTTAAGTACTGGTATTTTTGGAGCCTAACTATGAGTTTTTCCTAATAAAAAGGTGAGGAAATATGAACTATGATATTTTTGAAAATTTACTCAAAAAAGTATACAGGTCTCATTTAAAGCACTAAAAGGCAGCAAATTTTTAGAGAAAATGAAATTTCTACTTGGAGAACTATGGCATACAAGGTATTAAAAAATGTAAAAAAACTCCTGTAACAAATCATCAAACATTCTTGAAAAAGACATAATAAATATTTATCATAGCTATCACAGGAAACTAAAATAAATCCCTGAAAGCCAAAAGAAGAGGAAGCAGAAATTCAGAGTATTATGCTTGCTTGAAGCAGCAGCTTCCCTGAGACATTGTTGATAATAGAAACCTAAGGCCTTTAGAGGTTTTCCCCCATCATATTTTTTCATCAGCCTTTATTGTGTAATAATTTACATACAATAAAATTAACCAATTTAAGTCATATATTCATATAACCACCACCTTAGGTAAGATATAGAACATGCCTCTCTGCAGTCATTCCCCTGATACCAAACCAGGCATGTTCTTGCCCATCCTGCAATAAGCCAATCACTGAGACAGTAAGTTTTGCAGTAGAGGAAAGATTTTATTCATGAGGCATCCAAGTGAGGAGGTGGGAGAACACCCCTCAAATTCTCCTCCTTGAAGTTAGGGTCTTAGGGATATTTATGGGATAAAGGAGCAAGGCAGTCCAAGGTATGGAAAAAGGTGATTGGTAGTAAGAAAAAGTGAGATAATTGCCAATCTCTGCAAGTGCAGTTAAGCTTCATTGCTTTTCAAAGGATGCATGTTCCCAAAATGGTATTATTAGTACAATCTGAGGGTGGAGTTTTGGGCCCTCTGATGTCAAAAGGACATTCATTGGACATTTATACAGGCCAATTGGAGGGTCAGTGGTATCAGTCAGCTTGAGCTAGACAAGAGCTGATCCTAATTTCCTGAAAAACAAGCAACCATTACTATGGTGACTTGTACATCAGAGATGTTATCTATAAGGAAACCAGTGGAAGTTTAGTTACATATTGCTTAATTGCATGACTTTTAGCTATGTAGGTTTTCAACTAGAAGCAAGCAACTACAAGCAAGGCAAGTTTCACCTTGTCCTTCGGCAACCACTGCTTTGCATTCTGTCATTTTAATGTTGCTGTTGCTAGAGTTTTATATGAGTATCATCATACCATATTTAGTCTTTGTGTCTGGCTTCTTCCATGTAGCATAATGCTTCTGAGATTCATCTGTGTTGTTGTATGTAGCAGTTCATTCCTTTATATGGCCAGTAAGTATTTCAGTGTGCTAACACAATAATTTCATCAGTTGATGGACATTGTGATATGTCTACTTTGGAGGTATTAAATATTATAAATAAATCTGCTATGAACATTGGAATATGTGTCTCTGGAAACATGTTTTTACTTCTCTTGGGTAAATACCTATGAGTGGGATGGTTGGGTTGAATAGTAGAGTTATGTTTAAGTTCATGAAAAACTGCCAAACTCTTTTCCAAAGTGGCTGGCCCATTTGCTTTTCTCGCAAGCAATGTATGAGAGTTTCAGTTGCTCTGCATCCTCACCAACGCTTGATTTTTTCAGTTTTCTAGTGAATGTGTGTGGTGTAAGGCCAAAAGTTAAGGCACATTGCTATATACTGTCTTGATATCTGGTAAAACTGAGAGAGTCCCAAATGGCCTAACCAGAGGATTCCCCTCCCCACTCTCCTTCCATTGGTAAAGTACCCTAGCCAAACAACCTCTCCTTAACAGAGGGACCAGACACCTACCCCTGAGTAGCAGAGTTTCAATTCCATGCCAGCTGTGAAATTATTCCAGGAAACCAATCACATTTTCCTGTGAGAACTAGGGAATGTGTCACCCTCTTCATATTACAAATTCTGCCTCCCACATCTCTCAGCTGTCTTCTGTTCCCAAATGCAACCTCCCTAGAGCATGGAGTGTCCTCCCCTGCAAGCTGTGAGTACATGTGACTAATAAGCTGTTATCAGTTTCATCTGCCTGGTGCTGGGTTTTGTGTTGGGCCTTCCCATAACCCTAGGGTGGGAATTCCTCCCTCACCAATGTGGTGAAGAGGTGGTGATTAAAACAGTGTGTAATGGTCTCTCATGGTAGTCTTAGCTTACATTACTCTAAAATGTTGAACATAATGTCTTTATTTGCCATTAGTATATCTTTTTTGGTAAAGAGTCTATTCAAAGATATTTCCTATTTTAACATTTTGGTGGTTTGTCTTCCTATCGAGTTGTAAAATGTCTCTGTTGAACACTTTTGCCAAGATTTTCTCCTACTCTGTGACTTTCTGTTCATTTCTTTAACAGTGTTTTTTTTTAAGGAGCAGAAGTTTTAAATTTTAATAACATCCATTTATAAATTTATTCACTATTGAGAGAGGTGTAGCCAGGTACAGTCACTCATGCCTGTAATTCCAGCACTTTGGGAGGCTGAGGTGGGAGAATCACTTGAGGCCAGAAGTTCAAGACCAGTTCAAGACCAGGGTCAATATAGAAAGACTATGCCTCTACAAAAAAAAAAAAAAAAGTTTTAAATTAGCCAAGTGTTATGGTATGCATCAGTAGTTTTACCTACTTGAGAGGCTGAGGTGGGAGGATAACTTGAGCCCAAGAAATTGTGGTTGCAGTGAGCTATGATTATATCACCGCACTATGATTATATCAAGCCAGCTATGATTATATTAAGCCTGGGTGACAGAGCAAGACCCTGTCTCTAAAAATAAAAAAGAAAGAGATGTTGAAGTCTCCAGCTAGAATTGTAGTTGAAGACTAAAAAATTTGTATTTTTTCTTTCAGATCTATCATGTATTTTTAAACCTCTGTTATTAAATGGATAAACATTTAGAACTGTTATTTCTTCATGATAAACAGACTTCTTTCTTATTATGAATTGGTCTTCTTTATCGCTGGTAATATTGTCTCCTGAAATCTGTGTTGTCTGATATAGCCGTTCCAGCTTTCTTTTAGGAAGTGTTACTACAGTATTTATTTCCCATCTTTTTACTTTTAATGTGTCTGAGTCTGTGTATTTAAAGGGGATTTCCTGAAGATAACATAATTTGCTCTTGCTCTTTTATCCAATCTAAAAATCTGTGGAATGTTATTTAGATTATTTACATTTAACTTGATTATGGATATGGTTGGGTTCAAATCTACCACTTTCTTTTGTTTTCTGTTTTTATCATTTATTCTTAGCCCCTTTTTTGCTTCTTTTCCTGAATTATTTTTCATTGGGTGTTTTAAAATGTTTTTTATTACTTGTCTTGGCTTATGAAGTATACCAGGGGTGTGTGTGTGTGTGTGTGTGTGTGTGTGTATGTGTGTGTGTTTGCCCCAAGATTTGCAGCATATATATTTAACTTACTATAGGTTACTGTCAAATATTATAGTACTAATTTTGCAGTATATATATTTAACTTAGTATAGGCTATCTTCAAATATTATGCTCCTCACTTTAAGAGCCTTACAATAATATACTTTTCTTTCTCCCTGCCCTGCCATGCCTTTTATTTTTCTGGTCAAACATATGTTATAAACTCTGCAAAACATCATTACTTTTGCTGTAAGCAGTCCATTACCTTTTAAAAAGGTTTATATAATTTTTTAAAAGTCTTTTATATGTGTCAGCCTATTTACCATTTCCAGTGCTATTTATTCTTTCATGTAGATCTACATTTCTTCTTGATACAATTTTCCTTCTGCCTGAAGGGCTTCCTTTAACTTTTCTTATAATGCTAGTTGCTGGTGACGAATTCTGGAAAAGCCTTTATTTCAGATTCATTCTCAAGTGAAGAATACAATCTTAGGTGAATAGGGATTTTTTTGTTTTTTTCTTTGCTGTTTTTCATTCTTTTCAGTAATTTAAAGATGCCCCTCCATTGTCTTTCAGTTTGCATTGTTTCTGATGAGAAATCTACTGTTATTTTTGTCTTTGTTTCTATATGGAATCGATCTTTTTTTACTTTGTCTGCTTTGCTACATTTGAGATTTCTCATTACCACTAATTGACAATTAGAAGGGCTACGTAGAAAAACCAAAATAAACTACAGACAGTTTTTTAGAATTAATAGAATTTGGCACATTTTTAGATACGGGATCAATATATCAAAACCAATTTTATTTCTAGATAGGAGCATAAGTCATTCACATATATATGTGTGTGTATATATATATATATATATACGTATATATATATATAT